AACCTCCTTTCTGGAATAGCCCCCAGGACCTGTTTACGAAGTTTACTTGAGTTTATTATTCTCAAGTAAACTGTTATTCTCAAGTTATTATAAATGAAAAGGTAAGTATAAAGCATTCCACAAAAAGTATGCTAACAGATAGGTGTAAAACTAACATAAGATATAAGCATATGTAAAGAAAATAGTTTAAACATGTAGCTTAGTTGCAGTCTAAGTGCCAGTAATGTTTAGAGATCATTAGCATAATTTGTATTCAGGGGCTGAACTCATTCTTGTATTACTTGTGTTTTATAGTCAGGAGATGGTCCAGACCTCACTGACACTCCAGTGGCTCTCCTGACAGTCGTAACGGATAACACTACTGATGCGGCCCTCTTCAGCCCTGAGAGCATCTGTATTGTCGTGGAGGATGAAATACTTGCGAGTGGTTCCATAAATCTGGATGACTCATTTCTCCTGCTCTTTGGGTACGTCTATGCACTAGACCTACAGTACCCAAAGAATCTCGAGCATTTACATTTACATTAATACAAAAAGTTGTAATGTGTCTTGAGGACAACAAACCACCGAACGGGAGTCTACTGATGCTGAAGAATGATTTGTTCAATGAGTGAATCACTCAGAATGGACTATTTGTTGAGCTGAGTATTGAGGACGTTTGTTGTTTTTGCCTCAGATTTAAGATGAGACTGTTTGCCTCTTCTACCTCAGACTTGATTCATTGATTGTTAATGGATAAATATCAAAACATTGACGTATTGCCCAGCCCATGTTTTTGCACAAGTACTTGTTGGAAATGACTTTTCAATCCATGCACTATACATGTTTAATGTTCTGTTACATAATGACTACCTTGATGTTGTCAGTTTAATGGCAACAGTTGAACTTTATGTGAGTTTAAAAAAAAAACAAAATGAGTTGCATCCTTCAAGGTACAGTAAGTGCCAAAAGGTTGTTTAACAGTATTGAAAGATCACGCTGACTTTTTGGGACTTAAGCTTATTCACCGTATCCCCCAGAGATAAGTCCACACATACCCTTCTCATCTCCGTGCGTGTTGTGCGTGTCTGACGCACACACCGCTAACCTAGCTTAGCACAAAGACTGGAAGCAAATGGCTCCAGCTAGCATACTTCTCCCAATAATTGCAAAATAACACCAAAATTTTTCTGTTTATATGTTGTGATTTTTATAGTCACAGTGTGTACAAATAACAAGGTCATGAGACACAGGCATCTTTTCTAACTCTGGGTGATATGGTGAATAAGCTAAAGTCACAAAAAGTCGGCGTGTTCCTTTAAATGGCTCCACATTCTAATAGTTTATTGCTGTTGATGATGGATAATACTTCTTATCTTATATCATTTTATCATGAATCCCTTGTGAGTTTTTATCATAATGTTTACTGAAAAAATGTGAGATGGAGACCCAAAATACTGAATCTACCCTCTGTAGCAATGACCACTATCAGAATATAGAACTATTAACACTTAATGTACTTTAAAACACTTTTTATTTCCTTTTATTTTAATTCATGACGAGCACTTTGTGACTGATCTCCTTTGATTCTCGTGCCTTTTAAAAGCACATTGTTGAATAAAAAAAGTTGCTAAATTGTCACTGTGGTGTCACTTTCATCTTTTCTGACATTATTAGCTGATTATAATTGTGTAGTTGGCCGACATCAGTATTTTAGTTTAGAATAAACTGAGCGCATATCCCACTTTGAGTAGAAAATTATAGGAAATTTTGTGCATTTCCTACATTATGAGTTTAAGAATATGAAATTTTTTGAGTCTATTTCCCACATTTTATGAGTTTAATAAAATTGAGAATTTTGAGTTTATTTCCAACATTTTATGATTTGAAGATTATTTAAATTTTTGAGTAAATTACTCACAAATTTTAAGTTGAGGAATATCAATATTTATAAGATAACACTGAGATAATTTAAGGCAACAGTAAATATAATTTTTAATTTAAGTAAACTTAAAACTTATAAAATATCACTTAAATATTTTTGTGTAATCTGTTACAAAATAATTTTTGAGTTCTGTGAACTTATTCGGGTTTACAGTGTGTTTATTGCTGCTGTTTGGCTGGTTGTCTTTTACTATTATTATTATTTTATTGTTTGTTTGTTGTTGTTTTTCTCCTCCCCAAGCCCCCCTCTCCGTTCTATTGCAGGTTTCGTTGCTTTCTGCAATTGGTGTTTCCCACAACTTTTCCCTGTTGTCCCCACCTTCCATCCCCCTTCTCTTACAGGTGTTGTCCTTTCTCTGTGCTGTCTGTTTGTGCCCCCCCATCCCCGTGTCTGCCCCCCTGTCTGGCCCGGTGACAAATCAATACATAATTAAATAAATAATAAAACTGACAAAAGAGTATATTAATACTCTCTTGTTAAAGTAAAATCTGTCTGGCACAATATGGTATCCAGGTCATCATACTCTATACCAGGCTGCTGGGCAGGACAGGGTTAAAAATAAATAAACGGTCTATGTTCAGTGGCAAGTTTCCCTGTTAGTGAGGTGAGGTGCCCTAGAAAAGACATAATCAAATATTTACAAGAGTGTACTCAGTTTTGTGAGATACTGTATATTTGTTAAATGTCTGTTTTACTTTAATATAATACACTTCATCACATCTTTTTAAAATTTGAATAGATAAACTAGCTGGTTACAGAAATTAAACTTAATGCAATCTCACTCTGAACTGAAGTTCACATAAGTGTCCAGTTGGTTTTTGGTGTGTAACTACATTTCACTTTTTTACTAAATTTTAATTTATAAAACATAAACTTGTTAATAATACTTAACTTTTTTTATCTTGATTCATCTTTTTTTCACAGGTATGACTGAGGCATTTATCACATGGCCATCTTGGATTGAAGAGGTCATCAAGCAATAAGTATTTGGAAAACAAGAGAGTAACCACTGTTACAATGTTGCTATCAATCAACTGACACTGTCCTCAAATGACTTGGAGGACATAACCATGATATAATAACCCAAAATTAAATTAAAGTAACTCCACAAATGTGGACATAATGCATTAAAGGGTTAATCAATTAATTGCCAACTATTTTGATGATTGAAGTCATTTTTGGTGTAAAAACATTTAATCGTTTCAGCTTCTCTCTGAATGATTGTAATAACTGTGATGTTTGTTAATAACGTTGAGCTTTGGACTGTTGGTCGGACACAACAAGCGTTGTTTCACTTTGGGCTCTGGGTAACTGTGACGGCAGAATCTTTACAAATCAAACAATCAATTGATTCATGGAGAAAATAATCAGCACTTTGAGCCAGGATGAAAAAAATGCCAGTTCAATCTGACACTGAACAATAAGGTGCTTCAAGCGTAGCTGTTGCCATCTTGTGGTGCTTTTATGTTTTCAACAAAATACCGTTTGGCTGAAATATAACACACAGATACTCCCACAGTGACTGTTAACAGGGCGATAACACACACATTTATTCCAAATATTGTCTTTTTCTTTAATCTAGTTATCTAACTGTTACTTTCATGAACAGGTTGGACATAAACTCGGAACTAAGACAGAGAGTTGTAGTAGAATAAAAAGTATGTTACAGCAAACCAGAGAGGTAATGGGATGAATGAATGATGGCGCTGTAGGTGCGTGGCTGAAGGCGATGGAGGTTAGTGGAGCTGTTAGACTGGCCAGGAGCAAACAGGAGGCAGGCAGGTGATGATCCTGAAGCACAGGAGACACAGGTTAGCAGGCAGGTAAAGCACAAAGCAAGGCATAACCAAGCAAACTCACAAGAAACTTTGCCACCTCACTAAATCCATTCTGCGGTCAAGGCATTTGGTGGTTTTGCAGATCAAGTTGACCTAAAAGCATTGGCTCTGAAACAAGTTTCAATGAAAAATAAAACTTATTTCATTTTATTTTGATATTTTTTGCATTCAGAATGTGTTTTTAAGATGTATTTAGTTTAATGGGTGGAACTAAATTTCTGCTAAAATGTTTCTACAAAACTGGTAAATTACCTGTAAAGTAATCACATTTCACAGACACAATCTTTCACCAACTGATTACTACTTTTAAATGATAAATGTAAAAATAAATCACTATATCATGGGAAATTAGTTGACAATGGTTAGTATTGTATTGGTTAAACAATGCTGATGGGCAGTTACTAACATAATGAATTCAGGTTACCAGTTACACCAAAAGAATTTGCACTGGTTTTTGATGCTTTACCAAGGAACGTGCTGCATCGTATCAGAGGTTCGTTAGTTGAGGTTTCACTGATCAGTTCTTTAATAGTCATATATTCCTTGGAGAAGTTGACTTTACCGAGAATAAATGTTCAAACAAATACATTAGGAATTATATACAAGCTGGAACTCTGTCCCCCGGGAAGATTCTTTTGAGCTTCGCTTTATGGAGAAATTATTTGTCAAAAAAGACGTTTAGAAGAGAGATTAAGAATTGATATTGAATTTACATTCTCTGTGAAGTGAAGAAGAAACAATCCATCAAATATTTTATCGTCTGTATGTTGCAGGATGGTCAACACTGTATAAGAAGGGAAACTGGGCAAACAATTCAATTGCAGGATAAAGACATTTTTATATGTTTTGAAGGTACAGAGGTGAAAATAAGATCTTCTTGTCTTTAGTTTTATTATTGGGAAAATGCCACATTCACAAGAGATGAACAGACTCCAAACCAAACCAAAAAGATCTGCATCAATATGGCACTACAATAAAAAACCTAAGAATAAGAAGGCAGTTAAAACCTCTTTTGTGTTTGATTATTTTCTGATGGACCGATGATACAGAAGTTTAATTTTTCCTTGTTTAGTTTATTTATTTACTTGTATATGTTGACTACCTCTGGGATGAACAGTGTTGTGTTGTCTAAAATAAAGAGAGTGCTGCTCTTTCTGCTTCTTAGTTCATCAGATAGGACTTTGTTCTTTCTACACAAACTTTTATTTTGAAGGTGTGGGAAGACGTGGTACCGGAAGCGCTTTTCCTTCCTTTGTCAGCACGCCAACGTGTTCGTGTGTTCCCGGAGTGAACTAGAGCCTGTATGTTTGGATAAACCTTCTTTTATACAGTCAGTGGGATAAACGTGTTAAAGTGGAAACTTTGGTTTCGCCTCAGACTCATCTCCTGTTAGCCACGAATGCTAACTGAAGTTAGCTTAGCTTGCTAGCTGGAAATAGACGGAACTCGGCCACACAGCGCTGGTTGGAGGAACTCTGAGTCCAAACTGTGTTTTTCATTTGTTTAAAATGTCTAAAGTCCAGATGCTGAGAGGTTTTATCAACCAGCGACTAACTGCGGCTGCTGAAGAGATATTTGGGCTGTTTGAAAGAACGATATCAGAGTACGAGGAGGAACTCTGTCGTTCCAAAGAGGAGAACCAGAGACACAGGAAACTACTGGACGCTGTTTTCCAGCCTGAAGTCCGGTTACACAGAGCAGGTTTGTCCTCTTTACTGCTTATTCTCACTGCAGACTGCTGCAAACCTGCTGCCACTGAAAGATTTTTGTGCCCATAATCTGAGTTTTACAGTAACGACAATAGATAAACTGACATGTTTAAACAGCTCAATGCTAACTTCTCCTCCAAGAAGTAACATGTGCTCATAGATGAGACAAATAGGAGCAAAGAGAAAAATGTTCAACACAGAGTTTATTAACAGTTAATTATATATATATTTATACTGTAGGCTGTGTGTTTCTTCTTCTTGCGTGCAGTTATGATGAAAACCAGTGGAGGACTATGGAAGTGAAAACCCTGGTATCTGGTCACTCAGCATGGACCTTAAAATATTAGCAAAGCTTTTTAAATCATTGAAACAGACTTTTGTATAAGTGTGACAAATTGTAAACAGCTTTTAAAGAGGTGGTATTATTCTTTTTGGCTTTCTCCCTGTCCTTTTATTGAGTTATATCTCTTGTTTGTGCATGTAACAGGTTTGCAAAGTGAAAAAAGTCCAGCCCAAAGGGAGTTCCCATCTCCCACAGAAAACTCTGCTCTGAACCGCTTGAAAACAGCTTGTTTGTAGTCCAGCCCTTCACTCCCTTTACTTGTGATGTCACAATGAAACGTGTCATAAGGCTTGCCAAGCGGCTAGCGGGGTCAGACACACCCTCAAACCAAGCTAGTCTGAGCGGAGGCCCTTTGGCTCGACTCGCCTTTGTTTGGTTTTCCATTGTAGAAATGTTGCACCTGTACCTGCTTCCAGGTACTTTTTTTCCGCATCACATCCGTCAAGGTTCCAAGCAAGCTGAGGGACACTAAAATGTAACGTGAAAACACGACAGACTGCTGATTGGTCAGAGAGAATATTCACTATTCATGCATCATCAGCTGTGTAGATTTTGAATATTGACAGTTTGATGGTGGAACAAAAATGAATATTTTCGGAGTTGAGGAGCTCCGCTAGTGGCTTTGGGGGAAGCCTGCGCCAACCTGCGGGAGGAGCGTGTGAGGCCGGCCAGCCGCCCGCTCACAGAGCCCTCTGCTCCCGCCGTCACACAGACCGCTGCAGCAACAACAGCAGAGGAAAACACAGCTGGAAGGTTTTCATACCGCTTATCTGTCTTTACATTCTGAGGAATGTTGAAACGTTTTAACTTAAAAAAGAGAAAGCTGTGTGGATCGCTGGTGTGTGTGTCGCATTGAACATTACGTCGCGGTGGTTGTGTGTGGTGTCGCTATGACGACAAGCTACGTACTATCTCTGGGTACTATCTGCAATGGAAAATGGAGCAGGGCCGAGTAGAGTCGAGTCTATCGATTTACGCCATGGTAGCATTTTTTGGCAATGCAGCATAGATCGTCAGAACACCGGCAACAGTTCAACGTTTAGTCTTAAAAGACGATGCAACTCTGGAAATTCACAATCACAACCTGTAAGTATACTTTATTGGTTGTGAATTATATTTAAAATAAACACGGCAATGTAACTTCACAAACTGTTCAAGTGCAGAGTTGTTGTAAACTTTGGCTAACTAAGTTATAAAGTTATAACTATAATGCTAATGTTACACCTGATGCGAAAGCTACTGAAGTTAAACGTTCAAATTGTTTGGCCAATTTTTATGTAAAATTGAGTTGAAATATGGTGATTTTTGTAGTGGTTTATGGTAAGATGTGGAACAATGATGTTGTGTGGTTGTGGACTTGTCACCTGCTAAGTTACGGTCGCAGTCTGAGGCAGCTTTGATTTGGATCACACTACCCTGTTTCTTACGACCCTCCCTTCTCTGCCTCTGATTGGCTAGTAGTCCTTACCTGGGAATGCGCATGTGCAACTCCCAACAAAGATTTTGTACAAGTAAGATGCGTCACTCTGTAACTCAAGAGCGAAGCGTACAACACAGGGTGAAAAGAGGAGCTGCAGCAATGTGCAGTATGAGAAAAATATGGTGTTTTTTGAAAATTAAACCATGTAAACCTGTTCTGCTACAACCCCTAATTTAAGATTTTGAACCTAAAAATTAGCAGATTACCACCTCTTTAAAACATCAGTAAACTCAGGTGTGATTGGTGCATTGCGGCTTGTGGAATGTGGGACTTGGAGTTTTTCAACCAGGGATGGATACACGATACACCAACACAACCCACGCCTTAAGTACACAAGATTACCAAACAATATTTAACTTCAGTAAAAAAGAACAAGGACAGCGTGTTCCTCTCAGGAGGAGACGGCTAGAAGCAGCACATACTGGCACAATGGCATGTATCATCTTTATTCTTTCAACTTAAATGTATTGTCTCCAGGTAAAACACAGACATGAACATAGAACATGTTTATCATTATTCTCCACAGACGTCCAGCAGCTGCTGGTGAGTAAAGAAGAGGTTCTCCCTGAGCAGCAGCAGTGGAGCCCCAGGCTGGACCAGGAGGACCCACCAGAGCTGCCACACATTAAAGAAGAACAGGAGGAGCGCTGGACCAGTCAGGAGGGAGAGCAGCTTCCAGAGGTGGAGGAGGCTGATATCACCAAGTTCCCATTCACTCCTTTCCCTGTGAAGACTGAAGAAGATGATGAAGAGAATCCTCAGTCCTCACAGCTTCATCAAAGCCAAACTGAAGAGAACAGTGATGCAGATCATTTGAAAACAGAAACTGATGGAAAGGACTATAGAGCACCAGAACCATCCAGGAACGTTAACCCAGATAGTCCTTTACAACTAGATACTCATGACCATACTTCACTCTGCTCTGAACCTGAGACTGATTACAGTTGGGATTGGGAGGATACCAGGAAACCTCAGCCAGGTTTAAACCCTCTGCAAAACAATGAAGTACCTGTAAGTGATCAGGAATGTAACACTGGAGAAATATCAGTTAGCTCCTCTGAATATGCTGCAAGATTTGGCCACAAGGGACATCTGCAGAACCACAATGGAACCAAAACAGGTGTGAAACCATTTAGTTGCCCAGTTTGTGGTAAAAGATTTGCACAACAGGGAACTCTGAGACAACACTCTATAGTCCACACAGGGGAGAAACCATTTAGCTGCTCAGTTTGTGGTAAAAGATTCACACAACAGGGAACTCTGACACGACACTCTGTAGTCCACACAGGGGAGAAACCATTTAGCTGCTCAATTTGTGGTAAAAGATTCAAAGACAAGGGAACTCTGATACGACACTCTACAGTCCACACAGGGGAGAAACCATTTAGCTGCTCAGTTTGTGGCAAAAGATTAACACAAAAGGGACATTTGAGACGACACTCTATAGTCCACACAGGAGAGAAACCATTTAGCTGCTCAGTTTGTGGTAAAAGATTCAAAGACAAGGGAACTCTGATACGACACTCTGTAGTCCACACAGGGGAGAAACCATTTAGCTGCTCAGTTTGTGGTAAAAGATTCACTCAAAAGGGAACTCTGAGACTACACTCCAAAGTCCACACAGGGGAGAAACCATTTAGCTGCCCAGTTTGCGGTAAAAGATTTGCACAAAATGGAAATCTGAGACTACACTCTAAAGTCCACACAGGGGAGAAACCATTTAGCTGCTCAGTTTGTGGTAAAAGATTCGCACTAAAGGGAAATCTGAGACTACACTCTATAGTCCACACAGGGGAGAAACCATTTAGCTGCTCAGTTTGTGGTAAAAGATTCACACAAAAGGGAACTCTAAGACTACACTCTGTAGTCCACACAGGGGAGAAACCATTTAGCTGCTCAGTTTGTGGTAAAAGATTCGCACTAAAGGGAAATCTGAGACTACACGCCATACTTCACACGGGAGAAACCATTTAGTTCCAGTATTTGTAAAATATTCACTCAGCTCCACAGTGTCAAAAGATACGCAAACGGCAAAAAATGAAGCTGCTTCTTGAACGTTGATCAGCTAAAAGCTGTGTTCAGCCACATGTTTTCTTTAAAAAGTCTAAAATTTCAATGTCAAAATTTAGGGCTGCACGATTAATCTAATTGCAATCGCGATGTCGTCATGTGCGATTACATAACTGCAAAAAGGTGTGCGATTTTAAGCAGAAAAAGTTATGCCGAGTTTTGCATGCCTGTCGAGAATTGCATGCAAAACTTGGCCACTGTTTTTAAATGCTATAATATCCTTTGTGGGGTTCATCATTGAGAATCAGCTAAAATATGTGGTTGATCAATGAGCACAGCAAAGTGTCTGAAAAGGACTTTAAGAGGTGGATGCAGAATTCGGCAGAATATTATGTTGAACAATATGATTATTGACAAGTTAATAGTTATTAAATTAGAGACTAATATAGATCATTTTGCTTGCAGAAGGATTAAATAAATCAAAACAACCCACAGAAATGAAACAGCTGTAACTGGATTTAATATTCAACTACTGTATTTTTGTTTTGTTTGTTTTGTATTTCTGTATTTCGGACTATAAGGCGCACTTAATAGCCTTTATTTTTTTCAAAAAAACGACTTATAATCCGGAGCGCCCTATATATGGACTAGTTGTGCTTAATGACTGCGAAGCGATTTTGTGTGGTACACGGTGCTAGTCATGAGCGTCGCGGAGCAATACATACAGTAGGCCTACTGTGCTTCACCATAATATTACAGTGTGACCCCAAAATGGCACCTGTCAAGAGACATGCTTACAACGCAGACTTTAAACTCAAGGCTATCACTCACGCAGTAGAACACGGGAATAGAGCAGCAGCGAGAGAATTCAACATTAATGAATCAATGGTACGGAAGTGGAGGAAGCAAGAAGATGACCTGCGCCAAGTAAAGAAGACCACACAGAATTTCCGCGGGAACAACGCGAGATGGCCACAGTTAGAGGACAAAATTGAACAGTGGGTTATGGAACAGAGAGCAGCAGGTAGAAGCGTCTCTACAGTCTTGATTCGAATGAAGGCAACAGCGTTAGCACGGGACATTAATATCAATGACTTTGATATTAGAGGCGGGCCTTCTTGATGCTTTCGTTTTATGAAAAGACGTAATCTCTCCATCCGCACACGAACTACCGTCTCGCAGCAACTGCCAAAAGATTACGAAGAAAAGCTGGCCACTTTCCGCGCATACTGCAAAAACAAGATCACTGAAAAGAAGATCTAGCCAGAGCACATCACCAACATGGACGAGGTTCCGCTCACCTTTGACATCCCCGTGAACCGCACTGTGGAGAAAACAGGGACCAGAACGGTGTCTATACGCACCACAGGGAACGAGAAGTCATCCTTCACTGTAGTTCTCGGTTGCCAGGCTAATGGCAAGTTGGTAAGTTTCCAGCTGGCGTCATTATCAAAGCTAACCCGAAGGGCTGGATGGACGAGGAAAAGATGAGTGAGTGGCTGAGAGAAATTTACGTCAAGAGACCGGGTGGCTTTTTCCACAAATCTTCGTCCCTATTGATCTGCGACTCCATCTGCGCCCATCTCACCGATGCTGTCAAAAACCAAGTGAAGCAAACTAATTCAGATCTTGCCATCATTCCGGGTGGATTAACTAAAGAACTCCAGCCGCTAGATATTGGTGTCAACAGGGCGTTCAAAGTTAAACTGCGAGCTGCGTGGGAGCAGTGGATGGCGAACACACATTCACCAAGACAGGGAGACAGCGTCAGGCGACTTACGCCACTATCTGCCAATGGATCGTGGATGCCTGGGCTAAGGTATCAGACTTATCTGTGGTCCGAGATTTCACAAAGGCCGGAATCATCACTGAACTGCCAGCTAACAGCAACGACACTGACTCGGATAATGACGAGAGGGCATGCTGGACGCCGTGATTGCCCAACTGTTTAACTCGGACACTGAAGATGAAGAATTTGAGGGGTTTGTGGACGAGGAATGAGCTGAAAAAGTGTGTATTGTGTTGTATTTTACGTGTTATAACTGAACAATTTTGAGAGGTATTGTGATACGCTAACGTTTGATTTAACGTGTGCGTGTGCATGTGTTGAACACATCGCTGTATCTGCATGAACTGGTGACAGTAAATTGTCCGTACGTGTGAATGGTTGTTCGTCTCTATGTGCTCTGTGATGAACTGGTGACTTTCTCACGGTGTACCTGCATCTGTTTTTTAATAAAGTTTGACTGACTTATCTGATTGTTTTGTTTCGCTTAATGCGCCTTATAGTCCGGTGCGCTTTATATATGAAAAAAGTTCGAAAACAGACCATTCGTTAACAGTGCGCCTTATAATCCAGTGCGCCCTATAGTGCGGAAAATACGGTAGTGGTAAAATAGTATTAATAGTAATTATAATGAATATATTAACATTATACTAACAGTATACTGTTAACATAACATTATACATTTTTTTTTTTTAAAGGGGACCTTTTTTATATTTTCTGTCATTTCTATAATGTTACAATGTCAGATGTTCATGTTAAACACGGCCAAAGCTTCAAATAATGAGGTCAAAGTATTAGATTAGATTAGTAGAAATCCCATTGAGCCAAAACCTCAGATATCTCCCTGTTCTGATTGCTCTGGTTTAAACTGCTTTTTCTACTAACGGCTCGGTATGATGTCATTCTGAGACAGAATTCCACATATGGTCATTTGATCGTGGCAGAGAATGCTGGCCACTCCCACAAAGGAACATGCAGCCCTATTCCTGAAGCAACCTGGTAAACACATAAGACAACGGCCAATCAGAAGACAGTGAGATTTGGAGGGGGGGCCTTAAAGAGACAGCAGCATCTACAGCTTGTTTCAGACAGAGGCTGAAATGAAGGCCTGCATGAAGAGCCAGTATAAGATGAACTTTGAATCATGCAAAGCTGCCATAGAGGAGTCACAGAACTACAATATAGGGCTGGAAATGCAGTATAATAGGTCTCCTTTAATGTTATAATATTATGCTAATACAGTCATGTATACTAGTTCCTCCTCCAGGTTGTGGATAGAGCCTGTGCAGTGGACAGATGTAGATTTAGATCCAGTGTGCCAGTATTTGCTCCTTTTAGTCGTCTCCTCTGTAGAGCATCATGCACCCCTTGTTCTGTTTTACATCTGTTTTACTAAAGTTATTGTTATACATATTGTTTATTGTTCAAGTAGAGAAAAGTAGACTCATTTTCATTCATTTGTTCCATTATAATCGAATCGCAATATTGTCCACAATAATCACAGACTTTTTCTCCAAATCGTGCAGCCCTATACAAATTTAAGGCCCTAAAAAGTCTTAAATTTGGTGAAGTTTGTGTTCTAGTTCTTAAATAATTTTAAACGGGCCTTAAGTTTTCAATGTCCATGTAACGCTAATGCTCATTGAAATGCTCCCGCAGCGCTTTAGAATGTGTTTTTCCTCCCGTGGTGTTGTAGTTCTTTCTTTCGCTAGTCCAATTATAATTTGCTGTGTTACGACTACAAAGACCAAGATGCAGCTGTCGTGTTATTGCCGCGAGTCTCTTTCGGATTGTACCGCACATATAAAACGGTTTTATTCTCCAGCTGTGCGAAAGTGCAACCTTAGCAACTCTTGCCTGAAAGAATCAGAGCTTAGGGGCTGGTTTAAACCAGTCGCTATCAGCGTTTTTGAAGCCTACTGTCGCTGCTTAATGAATGAGTGTCGCTCCTAAACTTTCACGCGATCATTAATGATTTCAGTAAGTTATGGTAACACTGAGCGCATGGCTGTGTCCCTCTCCTCATTCAAAGTTTGCGGAGGATAAGATTAACATTAAGTTGTCGGGTTACAGCTCAGTCCTGTACTGCACATCTTGCATCTCTTCTTCCTGCACTCACTCACAGAACTCGTCATTTTTCTGGATATTTCCACCTGTGATCCTTTTTCACGGCAGCAGGCCAGCTTCTTAATTACGTAGTTTATCAATGTCAACGTCCATCCCGGTGTTTCATTGTTGACATCATCCAGTGCCAGATTTGTAAACATCACCCAACCCTTATTTGAATAAATTTATTTACTCTGCACGTCTGTATGTTTCTTTTTTTGACGTTGTGATATAGGTCTTAAATTTCATAAAGTGGTCTTAAAAAGGTCTTAAAAAGTTTTAAATTTGAACCCTGCAGAAACCCTGTCTATGGTGCTACTTTATATTTACACAGAGCAGACAAAGAAAACTAAGGAAGTTGAACTACCTGGTATGTTTTGAAAATATGTGTCTTTTAATCGTTTCCAGATATCGGTTGTACTTTACAATGATACGAGTTAGCATAGCCCCGATCGACCTGAACTTAAGAAAATAAGCATTTTAAACGTTTGCTGGTCGTGTTGCGGACAGACCTGACAAAGAATGAATTCAGACATTTTACTAATCAGCACTACGATGTTGATATTTTGGAATCCTTTCGACCTGTTTATTGCAATTTCTATGTGAACACAAAATAACACATCACACAGCCATTAATGTCTAAACTGCTGGCAACAAAAGTGAAATTTTTAAAGAAGCTGACGGTAAAGGTGATGGACTGGCCAAGCATGTCTCCAGACCTGAACCCTACTGAGCATCTGTGGGGCGTCCTCAAAAAGAAAGGTGGAGGAGTGCAAGGTCTCTAACATCCACCAGCTCCGTGATGTCATCATGGAGGAGTGGAAGAGGACTCCAGTGGCAACCTGTGAAGCTCTGCTGAACTCCAGGCCCAAGAGGGTTAAGGCAGTGCTGGAAAATAATGGTGACCACACAAAATATTGACACTTTGGGTCCAATTTGTACATTTTCACTTACGGGTGTCCTCACTTTTGTTGCCAGCAGTTTAGACATATAATGGCTGTGTGATGTGTTATTTTGAGGGGACAGCAAATTTACACTGTTATACAAGCTGAACACTCACTACTTTACATTGTAGTGTCATTTCTTCAGTGTTGTCACATGAAAAGATAGAATCAAATATTTACAAAATGTGAGGGTCGTATTCACTTTTGTGAGATACTGTATGAGTTTGTAAAAGTACAAATATCACACTGAAAATACTCCACTGCAAGTAAAAGTCCTGCATTGAAAATCTTACTCAGGTCAAAGTAAGTATTATCATCTGGAGACCGACTAAAGGCTTATGTTGTACAAGGAAAAGAGATTTTGTGATACACATGAGAACCCACACAGGTGAGAAACAGGATATTTTCACCAGTGTAGAAAAAGTTGCATAGACGCATGAATCCAATCTGAGGAGAGTCCTTATATCTGCTCAGTTTGTAGTAAAGGTTTTTGACAACACGTTTTGACCCTACGGGAGATTCAGCTGCAGTGTGAGAAGTATACTGAACTTTGATTCCTCCAAAATCACATATTACATATAGATATTTTGCTATCATATAATTTGTTATAAATGTTAGTTTGCTGTCCATGTAGAGTAAACTAGATGTCTGTGTGTTGTTTATGTGCTCTGATAATTATAATCCAACACATCTCTGTAGCGTCAGAAGTAAGAAGAACAACTTAACTCGTAAAATGGGACCACCAGAGGAGCACCTGAATGCACCGTGAGCCTCTTGCAATTTGCGACTCTCACCACTAGATGCAACTAAAACACACACTGAACCTGTAATGTACCGTACAGTACAATACACCAAACAACCAAAAAATTATTCTGCCCCAGCATCCCGTCTTTGGTCTGGGACAGGCCAGAGAAACTCGTCCTCTTCCTCCTCTCCCTACCGCACTTCCTCCTCCTCCTCTCTGGTGTCCTGGACATCTTCTTCACATCTCTCTGGATCCGTTGTTCCAAAACTGAATGAACTTACTCAGCCCTTTTATTTATCTATTGAAGGTTGTGATTGGTTTGTGACCAATTATGACTCTTTGTGTTTCCACCTGGGTAGCTGTGAGCTAACTGAGCTCAACCTGTGCTGACTTGAGTGAACAATATTGAATGTTAGTGCTTTCTAAATGACCACATGGTGTAGGCAATGAGAAATGAAGGGATTTGTGTGTAGAGTTTTGCAGAGACAGTTCAACAAACCTGAATCATGTGTTAAAGCAGTTTAGGGAAATGGGTGTGCTTTTTGACAAATGGCATTATGGTTTTATTATTGTAGTTGAAAAGCCTGATTATTTTGTTTAAGCCTTCAAGAAAAACTGTAATTTATCTTTAAGACTCTAGAGAACATGAACTGACATGTCAGGTTCAGCAAAGTGCAGCATGACCTGCCGTCAGTCACCAAAATGTTGGATGGACACCAGAGAAAATAAAATCCTGGGGAAGTGTAGTACAGACTAAAGTGAATCAAACTAGTCTATTAATAATGTAATTTATTTAGAAGCTGCAGTCACACCTTTCACTGTATACTGGTGATTTCTAGTTACATCAGATCAGAAGTAAAAGTACTCTATTACAGGTAAAAGCAATGCATCCGTAAAAGTGTCTTTAAAATGTATTTCAAGTATTAAAAAGAAAATAGAAATCCTCCAGTACAAGAACCTTAAAACCGTACTTAACTACAAATTTGAGGTACTTTTACTTTACTTGAGTCATTTATTTTCGTGCCACTTTCTACTTAAACTCCGTGACATCTCGGAGGGAAATATACTTTACATATGAAGGTTTTATAAAATATAATGTTTTGTTTTAAATATAAATGTACTGCTGAAACTATTAGTCACACGTCAAATATTGTGATGATTGAAGTCATTTTTGGTATAAAAACATTTCATCGTTTCAGCTTCTCTCATGATAATTTGCAATTAAAATCACTTTTGTGTTTGATTATTTTCTGATGGACAGATGATACATAATTTTTATTTTTTATGTAATTTATTTACTTGTGTATATGTTGACTACCTCTGGGATGAACAGTGTTGTGTTGTCTAAAATAAAGAGAGTGCTGCTCTTTCTGCTTCTTAGTTCATCAGATAGGACTTTGTTCTTTCTATACAAACTTTTATTTTGAAGGTGTGGGAAGACGTGGTACCGGAAGCGCTTTTCCTTCCTTTGTCAGCACGCTAACGTGTTCGTGTGTTCCCGGAGTGAACTAGAGCCTGTATGTTTGGATAAACCTTCTTTTATACAGTCAGTGGGATAAACGTGTTAAAGTGGAAACTTTGGTTTCACCTTTCATCTCCTGTTAGCCACGAATGCTAACTGAAGTTAGCTTAGCTTGCTAGCTGGAAATAGACGGAACTCGGCCACACAGCGCTGGTTGGAGGAACTCTGAGTCCAAACTGTGTTTTTCATTTGTTTAAAATGTCTAAAGTCCAGATGCTGAGAGGTTTTATCAACCAGCGACTAACTGCGGCTGCTGAAGAGATATTTGGGCTGTTTGAAAGAACGATATCAGAGTACGAGGAGGAACTCTGTCGTTCCAAAGAGGAGAACCAGAGACACAGGAAACTACTGGACGCTGTTTTCCAGCCTGAAGTCCGGTTACACAGAGCAGGTTTGTCCTCTTTACTGCTTATTCTCACTGCAAACTGCTGCAAATCTGCTGCCACTGAAAGATTATTGTGCCCATAATCTGAGTTTTACAGTAACGTCATCCAAGTACCACAAAATAAAAGTAATGTAACCTGATTACTTTGAGTTATTTTTGGATTACTTCGAAGCCATAAAGGCAAATGAAGCCAAGAGAGTGTCAACGATGCGTTTCTGCTCAGTGTATTTTTAGAGAAACGTGTGCAAAATCTTCCATTCCCGTGAAATCAAAATCCCTGCTTAAATGTTTCTATGCTTTGCACTATGTCACCACTATGGCAGTATCTGGCCCATCCGTGGTCTCAGTGTTTCCCCTAGGATGAAGTTGTAGCAGCAACACCAACCGAAGATCAGTCTGCTGGGAGGAACTAAACTATTAGATTCGGGGGAAAGTAATTTGTTTATGATGCTCTCCACAGTGATTTTACATTTATGGCACAGCATGTTTTGGGCATCACCCCCTAAAACCCTGTTAATTTGACCTCAGAATCATTATAGATAGGATTGTTAGGGGTGGGCGATATAGCAAAAATATATCACGATGTAGTTCATTCAGGATCACGATTCATTTTCCTGTTGGTTTTTAAGACTATTTTGCAAGTAATTGGTTTAAAAGAGAAAAATAACACACATTTTAAAGACTTTAAAAGAAATTTTTTGATGAAATTTTCCCATGAAAGAATGTGCTGTTTGCTGTATTTAAAAGCACAAAGACAGGGAGGGACTTGTTGCAGATATTGATTGGGGTTTTCAGTATCCAATAGTGCTGAATGTGCGTTCTGCCCCCCAGCCTGTCTGGTAGACTGCGCGGACTGGTTCAGCTCTCAGTGAGTAAACTCTGCGGCCGAACAGGAACCGAACTCGGCCTCCGAAACCGACAGAGGCCAATTTTGACAACAGGGAATACAGGACCGAGGTGGTTTTCTTGGCCTACAGCAGCCCTACTGAATTGGCGGCCGCGGGCCACATCCGGACCGAAGCAACCTCCATGTGGCACAGCGCACAATCTAATAGATATAACAACAAAAGTAAACTACATGTATAGTGAATGGAAGTTGCTAAAGAGTGAGATCGTTTCCTTATCATCATGGCTGAGTTTCACATGCGCTGTACTGATCACCGCCAATCAAGGTTCAACATAACTGTTCGACCTGCAGCCTCTCCCGCTCCTCTGTGTCTGCACAGCGCCTCCACGCACGCGAACACACGGATCAAAGTCAGCCAGCTGATCAGCGGACGTTGAGGACAACTACGCTGGTTAGTGTATGTTCGTGGTGCAATAAAGACTTAGACCAGTAAAAAGCCAATTCTTTACCAACACTCCTGTTTTTAATGAGCATAAACATGCAAAACTCAGTGTTTTCATCTGCTCAGTCTCTCATCCAGCAGCTTCGTTTTGGTTTTACACAAGCACAGCGCTATTTCAGATAATAGCCTATTGTTACAAACAAGCTATGGGGTGGTGATGGTGAATGGATAAGATTCCTGCCTTTGGTGTGAGAGACCATGGTTCAAACCGTCATGGAGGAGTGGAAGAGGACTCCAGTGGCAACCTGTGAAGCTCTGCTGCCGTTTCACGCAGCATGGCTAACTGAGCTAACTAGCTACAGATACAGACAGATACAGTTAGCGGTTTAGCAAAAAGTAAATGTATCTGTTTATCAAGAAACTCTGTAAATCGTCTCGGTACTATATTCCCTGTTGGTCTCTGTGTTCGGTCCTGTTCCTGCCGTGTTCACTGGGAGGCTGCTGAGCACAGTTTTTTTTTGACCGCTTGCTTGGCTCCGGTTCTGGGGTGCCGCTCTCTGATGTTATCCTGGCCTGAAGTGTAACTTTAAACACAATACACTCCCCAGGTGCTCCAAGCTCCCAGTCCGGGCTGAGACAGATGACCACTAGGCTAACTGAGCTAATTATATAACAACAGCTAATTAACCGCGGTAAGCGGTTACTTTAGCAACAAGTAACACTTTCTGTTCTGGTGAGTAAAGAAGAGCTTCCCCCTGAGCAGCAGCAGTGGAGCCCCAGGCTGGACCAGGAGGACCCACCAGAGCTGTCGCACATTAAAGAAGAACAGGAGGAACTCACGACCAGTCAGGAGGGAGAGCAGCTTCCAGGACTGGAGGAGGCTGATATCACCAAGTTCCCAAGTAAGTTACTGTAGTGAATGGGTCTTCCTCTATGTTGTTGTCCTTTTTCCTTATATTGCATAAATGTTGCCAATATTTGGGTCAATAAGCTGTAGACTGAAGAAGCTGTGTACCTTAGTCTCGGGGAAAATGACAAGATATCTAAATTGAACGTTACGAAGCAAACAGTACCTGTTATCTAATTTAAGCACAAAATCACAATATATTCCACATGCTTTGCTGTAATGTTTGTTTACCTGTCGTAGTCTTCAAACAAGTCTCAGACCTCCAAGATCCACATCAGTCTGGTTTTAAGATTGGCCACTCTATTGAAACTGCTCTTCTGTCTGTAACAGAAGCCCTAAGGTCAGCTGAAGCTGCAGCCCAGTCCTCAGTTCTTATCCTGCTTGACATACAGTCATGGCCAAAAGTGTTGGTACTCCTGAATTTCTTCCAGAAAATCAAGTTTATCTCACCGAAAAGTATTGCATTAACCCATGTTTTGCTATACACATGTTTATTCCCCTTGTGTGTATTGGAACAAAAAAAAAAAAAAAAAGAAGGAAAAAAAGCAAATTGGACATAATTGTGCACAAAGCCCCCAACATGGGCTGGACAAAATTATTGGCACCCTTACAAAATTGTCGACAAATAAGATTGTTTCAAGCATGTGATGCTCCTTTAAACTCACCTGGGGCAAGTAACAGGTGTGGGCAATATAAAAATCACACCTGAAAGCAGATAAAAAGGAGAGAAGTTGAATTAGTCTGTGCATTGTGTGTCTGTGTGTACTAAGCATGGACAACAGAAAGAGGAGAAGAGAACTGTCTGAGGACTTGAGGACCAAAATTATGGAAAATATCAACAATCTCAAGGTTACAAGTCCATCTCCAGAGATCTAGATGTTCCTTTGTCGACAGTGCGCTGCATTATCAAGAAGTTTGCAACCCATGGCACTGTAGCTAATCTCCCTGGTCGTGGACGTAAGAGAAATATTGAGGAAAGGTTGCAACGCAGGATAGTCCAGATGGTGGATAAGCAGCCACAAACAAGTTCCAAAGAAATTCAAGCTGTCCTACAGGCTCAGGGTGCATCAGTGTCAGCACGAACTATCCGTCGACATTTGAATGAAATGAAACGCTATGGCAGGAGACCCAGGAGGACCCCACTGCTGACACAGAGACATAAAAAAGCAAGACTACAGTTTGCCAAAATGTACTTGAGTACAGAAAACCTTCTTGGGGATAAATGAGACCAAGATAGAGCTTTTTGGTAAAGCACGTCATTCTACTGTTTACCGAAAACAAAATGAGGCCTACAAAGAAAAGAACACAGTACCTACAGTCAAATATGGTGGAGGTTCAAAGATCTTTTGGGGTTGTTTTGTTGCCTCTGGCACTGGGTGCCTTGACTGTGTACAAGGCATTATGAAATGTGAGGATTACCAAAGGATTTTGGGTCGCAATGTAGGGCCCAGTGTCAAAAGGCTGGGTTTGCGTCCAAGATCGTGGGTCTTCCAGTAGGACAATGACCCCAAACATACTTCAAAAAGCACACAGAAATGGATGGCAACCAAGCGCTGGAGAGTTCTGAAGGGGCCAGCAATGAGTCCAGATCTAAATCCCATTGAATAACTGTGGAGAGATCTTAAAATTGCTGTTGGGAAAAGGCGCCCTTCCAATATGAGAGACCTGGAGCAGTTGGTCCAAAATTCCAGGTGAGAGGTGTAAGAAGCTTATTGATGGTTATAGGAAGCGTTTGATTTCAGTTATTTTTTCCAAAGGGTGTGCAACCAAATATTAAGTTAAGGGTGCCAATAATTTTGTCCAGCCCATTTTTGGAGTTTTGTGTGCAATGATGTCCAATTTGCTTTTTTGTTTTGTTCCAATACACACAAGGGGAATAAACATTTGTATAGCAAAACATGTGTTAATGCAATACTTTTCTGTGAGAAATACTTGATTTTCTGGAAATATTTCAGTGGTGCCAACGCTTTTGGCTATGACTGTATCAGCTGCCTTTGACACAGTCAATCACAGGATGTTGCTATCCGCACTCTTAGCAATGGGCATCTCGGGCAAAGCACTCCTGTGGGTTGAAACCTCTCTGGGCGTTTTTACAGTGTTTTGTGGCAAGGACAATTATCTTCTTCCCACTGCCTCTCCACAGGGGTGCCCCAGGGCTCAGTGCTAGGGCCCCTTCTCTTCTCAATTGGCTTCTCTTACCACTGCTATGCAGACGATACGCAACTCTACCTATCCTTCCCGATAGACGTCCTTTTCAGACCATGTTGCCGCTTTGCTCTATACAACATAAGAAAAATAAGGCCCTACCTTACACAGTATGCCACCCAAGATCTGGTACAGGCCATGATTATCTCTCACCTCGACTACTGCAATGCCCTCCTAGTGGGTCTTCCAGCTTGTTTGCTGAAACCCCTATAAATGGTTCAGAACTCAGCAGCATGTCTGGTTTTTGATCAACCCCAAAGGACTCATATCACTCCATTACTCAGTGACCTCCACTGGCTGCCCGTGGCCTGGAAGTAACATTAATTATCTGCATTTCTTTACTACCTTCTCCTCCAGTGTTGAGAGCATCAGGTAAAAGCTTAGGCTAAACTAGTGTACGGCTCTGTCCTGGATCCATAGTGCACATCCTGATAGTTAAATAATAATTAACTTTTCAGATGTGTCTGAAAAACTTGTGTGACGTCCCCATCTTTCGGCTGCTGGGATGTCTGTCTCTCTGTATCCTGCGTTGCAGATGTCAGGAGGCGTGGTTAAAATCATCAGTTGTTGCAGCCACCTGGGCCCGGTGTTCTCCACTATAAGTGTGTGTCTGTTGTTCTGCGCTGAGGGCTAGAGAGGAGGGAAACCCTGTTCCCTATGCTCCACGCTCCTTGTTATTTTTTGTTTTTTTCACCATACAACACTTCACTCACTATTCCTTCAAGCATGCATACCTGCTGACATGACAGATCTACTGATTATCATACTTCATATGTTTTTTCAATATTAAGTTGTTTCTGTTAATTTAAAAAAGTAATGGTACCTTTGCCGCAGTTTGTGTCATTGTTCTGTTCTTTTTTGTCGCGGTTTTGAGCCAGCCGTGACACTTGTTAGTTAGGAAAGGAAGGACGGTGGTGACCATGGAGCAGCTGATGTTAGTTAAGCAAATTAGGGATACAAATAAGTCCTTTTATGCTAATGAGGAGACGTTTCATTTGGATTTCAATGTACAATTGAAATGCTTGGTAATTATACAGAAGGGAGTATAAACCTATCCAAAATGATTCTGACGTTCTATCAACAGGGTTTTTCCTGCTATAAGGCGGTAAGGCCCAAAACAGCTTGGGGGCTGTGCCATGAATGTAAAATCATTGTGGAGAGCATCAAAACTAACAAGATTGCTTTTCCCAGATCTAATGATCATAGCTCCTCCCCATAAGGCTTGTTTAGCAAGTTTAGGTTTTTGGGTGTTTATTTATAATCTGCTCTCGTTTTTCCCACTTTTTGTACAGATATGGTAATAATAATGGTCCACTATTACGTGAAATTATATATTTTTATTTATTGGAAAACACATGTTTTTCTGGAAGTAGAACCCTCCCCATACCCACCCGCCCACATTTGTTTACAACATGTTGTCTTGGTGTTTTAGATCCAGATATAAAGCAGAAAGCACTTTGCGAGCGCTCAAAGTTTTGCTACAACTCCATCCAAGGGAAACAATATATGGTCTAATGAAACAATGTGCATCATTAACAACATAACATGAAACCTGTGGTATACGCAGACAGACGCCAAATGGTTTCTTCTAGTGGGTTTACATACACATAATATGAGCATGGAGTTGCAGCTGCCTTGAACGTGCTTGTAGTACGTTATAGTGTCAATGAATTCCATGTATGTTAAAGACAGTGTTTACCCTAGGATTTCTGTCAGGGGGGGTGGTCGACATCCTGAAACGATATACTTCTGTGTCGAATCGACGGCGTAGCCTCTGCTCAGCTCCCTACCCTACACCGTAGCCCTATGTGCACCTCCTCAAAAATGTAACTATACGTCGACCCCATGAAATCTGTTAAAATTTTCCATTTAATATTTTGCCAGAATCTGTGTTTTAGCACCTTTTGTCATCACAGAGTGTGCAATCATTGTGGTGAATAAAATTTCAACAATTCAATAAGAAAATATTACAAAGTGAATCAATATAAATTCATTTGATGTATTATGAAAATACTATATATTCAAATGCATGTGCAATTATTTATGGGGACAATTGACAATAAATGTAGGCTACTGCAACAGTAGGATGTGCTAACAGGCTATTATTTACATTACATTTATTCCATTTAATCATTTTAGCTGATGCTTTTATCCAAAGCGACTTACAAATGTCAGAGGTCACGCGTCTCAGGAGCAACGAGAGGTTAAGTGTCTTGCTCACAGTGGCGAGTTGAATCCTCTCTCTCACATCAAAGGCACCACGCCAAAGGCATGTCTCTTATCCACTGCTCCATTGCCACCCCACATCCACACTATTTAATAGGGACAATTAAAAATAAATGCATTGTTGCAGCACATGTATTGTGAATTGTCCCCCTATGAAGTAGGTGATAACGTAACGCACGGTATAAGTGGGTCTGACGAGGCTTAGAACTAAAATTGGTGCACATTTGCATGATAGTAACGATCTCTCTGAAAATGAGGCAGAGCATGGAGACATTTTTAATCGTTCACAATCAAATATCATAATATCGCCAACCCCTATCTCCAGGTAAAACACAGACATAAACATAGTACATGTTTTTCATTATTCTCCACAGCTGTCCAGCAGCTGTTGGTGAGTAAAGAAGAGGTTCCCCCTGAGCAGCAGCAGCAGTGGAGGCCCAGGTTGGACCAGGAGGACCCATCAGAGCCGCCACACATTAAAGGCGAACAGGAGGAGCTCTGGAACAGTCAGGAGGGAGAGCAGCTTCCAGGACTGGAGGAGGCTGATATCACCAAGTTCCCATTCACTCTTGTCCCTGTGAAGAGTGAAGAAGATGATGAAGAGAAACCTCAGTCCTCACAGCTTCATCAAAGCCAAACTGAAGAGAACAGAGATGCAGAGCATTTGAAAACAACTGAAACTGATAGAGAGGACTGTGGAGGACCAGAACCAGCCAGGAACTTTAACCCAGATAGTCCTTCACAACCAGATACTCATGACCAGACTTCACTCTGCTCTGAACCTGAGACTGATTACAGTTGTGATTGGGAGGAGACCAGGGAACCTCAGCCAGGTTTAAACCCTCTGCAAAACAATGAAGTACCTGTAAGTGATCAGGAATGTAACACTGGAGAAACATCAGTTAGCTCCTCTGAATGTGCTGCAAGATTTGGTCACAAGGAACATCTGCAGAACCACAATGGAACCCAAACAGGAGTGAAACCATGTAGTTGCTCAGTTTGTGGTAAAAGATACAGCCGGAAAAGCTACTTAAAGATTCATATGAGACTCCATTCAGGAGAAAAACTTTTGAGCTGCTCTGTTTGTAAAAAAATGTTTCCATTGAGAAAAGATGTTGTGACTCACATGAGAGTCCACACAGGGGAGAAACCATTTAGCTGCTCGGTTTGTGGTAAAAGATTCACACAAAAGGGAACTCTGAGACGACACTCTACAGTCCACACAGGGGAGAAACTATTTAGCTGCTCAGTTTGTGGTAAAAGATTCAAAGAAAAGGGACATCTAAGACGACACTCTACAGTCCACACAGGGGAGAAACCATTTAGCTGCTCAGTTTGTGGTAAAACATTCTCACGAAAGGCACATCTAAGACGACACTCTACAGTCCACACAGGGGAGAAACCATTTAGCTGCTCAGTTTGTGGTAATAGATTCTCACGAAAGGCAAATCTGAGACAACACTCTATATTCCACATGGGAGAAACCATTTAGTTTCAGTCTTTGTGGTAAAATATTCACTCTGCTCCACAGTGTCAAAAGATATGCAAGTATGTTGGTGAGATTAATGGTAAAAAATTAAGCTGCTTCTTGAACACTGATAGTCTAAAAGCTGTGTTCAGCCACGTTTTCCTTAAAAAGTCAATATCCAAATTTAGGGCTGCACGATTAATGTAATTGCAATCGCGATGTCGTCATGTGCGATTAAATTTGCCGCAAAAAGTGTGCTGTGTGTGTGAGACTCCTCTCTGTTTGCACTGCTGTCTGCTCATTATCTCCGCCCACACCGGGCTCTCGCATGTGCTCCTAAAACAGATAAGCATGAACCACAAACAGTAATTTATGGGCAGTGAGCGAGTAACATTAAAGACAACAACCTGCCGAGAATTTCATGCAAACTTCGGCCACTGCTTTTAAACGCTATAATATCCTTCGTGAGAATCAACTAAAATACAGTGAGGAAAATAAGTATTTGAACACCCTGCTATTTTGCAAGTTCTCCCACTTAGAAATCATGGAGGGGTCTGAAATTGTCATCGTAGGTGCATGTCCACTGTGAGAGACTTAATCTAAAAAGAAAATCCAGAAATCACAATGTATGATTTTTTAACTATTTATTTGTATGATACAGCTGCAAATAAGTATTTGAACACCTGAGAAAATCAATGTTAATATTTGGTACAGTAGCCTTTGTTTGCAATTACAGAGGTCAAACGTTTCCTGTAGTTCTTCACCAGGTTTGCACTGCAGGAGGGATTTTGGCCCACTCCTCCACACAGATCTTCTCTAGATTTCTGGGCTGTCGCTGAGAAACACGGAGTTTGAGCTCCCTCCAAAGATTCTCTATTGGGTTTAGGTCTGGAGACTGGCTAGGCCACGCCAGAACCTTGATATGCTTCTTACAGAGCCACTCCTTGGTTATCCTGGCTGTGTGCTTCGGGTCATTGTCATGTTGGAAGACCCGGCCTCGACCCATCTTCAATGCTCTAACTGAGGGAAGGAGGTTGTTCCCCAAAATCTGGCAATCCATGGCCCCGGTCATCCTCTCCTTAATACAGTGCAGTCGCCCTGTCCCGTGTGCAGAAAAACACCCCCAAAGCATGATGCTACCACCCCCATGCTTCACAGTAGGGATGGTGTTCTTGGGATGGTACTCGTCATTCTTCTTCCTCCAAACACGGTTAGTGGAATTATGACCAAAAAGTTCTATTTTGGTCTCATCTGACCACATGACTTTCTCCCATGACTCCTCTGGATCATCCAAATGGTCATTGGCAAACTGAAGACGGGCCTTGACATGTGCTGGTTTAAGCAGGGGAACCTTCCGTGCCATGTGTGATTTCAAACCATGACGTCTTAGTGTATTACCAACAGTAACCTTGGAAACGGTGGTCCCAGCTCTTTTCAGGTCATTGACCGGCTCCTCCCGTGTAGTTCTGGGCTGATTTCTCACCTTTCTTAGGATCATTGAGACCCCACGAGGTGAGATCTTGCATGGAGCCCCGGTCCGAGGGAGATTGACAGTCATGTTTAGCTTCTTCCATTTTCTAATGATTGCTCCAACAGTGGACCTTTTTTCACCAAGCTGCTTGGCAATTTCCCCGTAGCCCTTTCCAGCCTTGTGGAGGTGGACAATTTTGTCTCTAGTGTCTTTGGACAGCTCTTTGGTCTTGGCCATGTTAGTAGTTGGATTCTTACTGATTGTATGGGGTGGACAGGTGTCTTTATGCAGCTAACGACCTCAAACAGGTGCATCTTATTTAGGATAATAAATGGAGTGGAGGTGGACATTTTGAAGGCAGACTAACAGGTCTTTGAGAGTCAGAATTCTAGCTGATAGACAGGTGTTCAAATACTTATTTGCAGCTGTATCATACAAATAAATAGTTAAAAAATCATACATTGTGATTTCTGGATTTTTTTTTGTAGATTATGTCTCTCACAGTGGACATGCACCTACGATGACAATTTCAGACCCCTCCATGATTTCTAAGTGGGAGAACTTGCAAAATAGCAGGGTGTTCAAATCATTATTTCCCTCACTGTATGTGGTGATAACCGCGTTTGATCAATGAGCACAGCAAAGTGTCTGAAAAGGACTTTAAGAGGTGGATGCAGAATTTGCCAGAAGAGATGTTGTAGGCTACCTGCAGAGATTTGCATCCACCTCTCTTCTCAGCATAAATGAGCGTTATCAGCCGCGAGGTGCATGCAACTCTCAGCAGGCAGGAAGAATTCGGCACAACACCTGTTGCTCTGTGACAGAGACAGTTACAGCAACGTTACGTGTCGTCGGCAGCTAAAGCGGTAAGACAGAAGAAAAGGGTTAGTTAACGTTAGCTGTATTGCTGCCTTTTGTTTTTCAACTTTTCCTAAATCTATAAAGCAAGTGAAACGACCAATCACAGCCTGGATGGGGCGGGACATTATGAAAAGTTTATCGTACTACAGCAAATCATTAAATGTTGAACAATATGATTATTGACAAGTTAATACTTTGCATTAACAAATTAGGGACCAATATAGATCATCTTGCTTGCAGAAGGATTAAATAAATAAAAACAACCCACAGAAATGAAACAGCTGTAACTGGATTTAATATTCAACTAGTGGTAAAATAGTAAACTATTATATGAAATTGTAATGAATATAGTAATTAATATATTAACATTATACTAACAGTATACTGTTAACTGAACATTATGCTCTTTATTTAAAGGGGGCCTATTATGCTTTATCATATTTTCTGTCATTTCTATAATGTTACAATGTCAGATGTTCATGTTAAACACGGCCAAAGCTTCAAATAATGAGGTCTATTATTATTATTATTATTATTATAAGTATTTAAAAGAAATCCCATTGAGCCAAAACCTCAGATATCTCCCTGTTCTGATTGCTCTGGTTTAAACTGTTTTTTCTACTAACGGCTCGGTATGATGTCATTCTGAGACAGAATTCCACATATGGTCATTTGATCGTGGCAGAGAATGCTGGCCACTCCCACAAAGGAACATGCAGCCCTATTCCTGAAGCAACCTGGTAAACACATAAGACAACGGCCAATCAGAAGACAGTGAGATTTGGAGGGGGGGCCTTAAAGAGACAGCAGCATCTACAGCTTGTTTCAGACAGAGGCTGAAATGAAGGCCTGCATGAAGAGCCAGTATAAGATGAACTTTGAATCATGCAAAGCTGCCATAGAGGAGTCACAGAACTACAATATAGGGCTGGAAATGCAGTATAATAGGTCTCCTTTAATGTTATAATATTATGCTAATACAGTCATGTATACTAGTTCCTCCTCCAGGTTGTGGATAGAGCCTGTGCAGTGGACAGATGTAGATTTAGATCCAGTGTGCCAGTATTTGCTCCTTTTAGTCGTCTCCTCTGTAGAGCATCATGCACCCCTTGTTCTGTTTTACATCTGTTTTACTAAAGTTATTGTTATACATATTGTTTATTGTTCAAGTAGAGAAAAGTAGACTCATTTTCATTCATTTGTTCCATTATAATCGAATCGCAATATTGTCCACAATAATCACAGACTTTTTCTCCAAATCGTGCAGCCCTATACAAATTTAAGGCCCTAAAAAGTCTTAAATTTGGTGAAGTTTGTGTTCTAGTTCTTAAATAATTTTAAACGGGTCTTAAGTTTTCAACGTCCATGTAACGCTAATGCTCATTGAAATGCTCCCGCAGCGCTTTAGAATGTGTTTTTCCTCCCGCGGTGTTGTAGTTCTTTCTTTCGCTAGTCCAATTATAATTTGCTGTGTTACGACTACAAAGACCAAGATGCAGCTGTCGTGTTATTGCCGCGAGTCTCTTTCGGATTGTACCGCACATATAAAACGGTTTTATTCTCCAGCTGTGCGAAAGTGCAACCTTAGCAACTCTTGCCTGAAAGAATCAGAGCTTAGGGGCTGGTTTAAACCAGTCGCTATCAGCGTTTTTGAAGCCTACTGTCGCTGCTTAATGAATGAGTGTCGCTCCTAAACTTTCACGCGATCATTAATGATTTCAGTAAGTTATGGTAACACTGAGCGCATGGCTGTGTCCCTCTCCTCATTCAAAGTTTGCGGAGGATAAGATTAACATTAAGTTGTCGGGTTACAGCTCAGTCCTGTACTGCACATCTTGCATCTCTTCTTCCTGCACTCACTCACAGAACTCGTAGTTTTTCTGGATATTTCCACCTGTGATCCTTTTTCACGGCAGCAGGCCAGCTTCTTAATTACGTAGCTTATCAATGTCAATGTCCATCCCGGTGTTTCATTGTTGACATCATCCAGTGCCAGATTTGTAAACATCACCCAACCCTAATTTGAATAAATTTATTTACTCTGCACGTCTGTATGTTTCTTTTTTAGACGTTGTGATATAGGTCTTAAATTTCGTAAAGTGGTCTTAAAAAGGTCTTAAAGTTTTAAATTTGACAAGGTGAACCCTGCAGAAACCCTGTCTATTGTGCTACTTTATATTTACACCGAGCGGACAAAGAAAACTAAGGAAGTTGAACTACCTGCTAAGTAAATATGTGTCTTTTAATCGTTTCCAGATATCGGTTGTACTTTACTATGATACAAGTTAGCATAGCCCCGATCGACCTGAACTTAAGAAAATAAGCATTTTAAACGTTTGCTGGTCATGTTGTGGACAGACCTGACAAAGAATGAATTCAGACATTTTACTAATCAGCATTATGATGTATTTATTTTGGAATCCTTTCGATCTCTTTATCTATGTGAACACACCATAAGCAGTGTTAGGGCATTAATAATGCAGCAATTAAGATACTGTAGCATTTGCAGTTGCTCTCTTATGGTACCATTATTATGGAAAATCTAAAAATCTAATTCATCCTAATCTGCTGTTTGCTTGAGTGGCATGTAGTACAGTATCAAAAGTGAGTACACTCCTCACATTTATGTAAACCTTTGATTTTATCTTTTCATGTGACGACGCTGAAGAAATGACACTTTGCTACAGTGTAAAATAGTGAGTGTACAGCTTGTATAACAGTGTAAATTTGCTGTCCCAAAATAACACATCACACAGCCATTAATGTCTAAACCGCTGGCAACAAAAGTGAGGA